GCTAGCTCCAAGGTCACACAATGCCCTATCAAACATGATACCACCAATATTGCACGGGATGTTGAAGCTACTCGGATCTTTCAATTTATGAGGGAGTTTCTTCTTAAGTATGGCACTACACTCCTCTGTCAGCTTAACGGTCTCGAACTCCTCCAACTTTCTCTTCTTAATCGTCTGACACCCCCTTCGGGTTCCCTTGTTCGGGCTGTTCCAGATGATGAGCCGACTTTCTCTTTTCTCTTTGAACTTCGTTTAGGAGGCATCCTGCAAAAGGAAATACACAATATCACTTACTTGGTATAGGAATAACGGGCATTAATAATCTTTGAATTCATAATCCCCCAAACTTTCTTCAATATGCACATTTACGTGTGTTTATGCAATGTTTCATAACATGAATCAGCAATATAACTCTAGCATTGCATAAGTATGGAAAACTCAAAATTTTGGCTCGAACATGCATTTCTAAAAATTTTTACCCATGACCAAGTGACCAAGTTCGGCCCCGGGCATCACCGAGAAATATCGAAATTTTCCCGAGCAAGTTTTGGACATGTAAAAGTACATAATGGTATCTAGCATATATCCAAATTTCACCCTAATCGGAGGTCGTTTACATTAGAAAACATAGGGACGAAGGTAGTGACGTGAGTGGATATGTTGAACCATGAAATGCCTTTGTGAACTCAAATGTTAAGGTAATGTTTTCAATTGAAATATCACATGACTTTTTGACAAAAATGCTACACAATAACGATGTAAACTATTACATAAGTGAAAAGCCTAAAAAATCAAAACATGCGTTAATGTGGCATTTCGTCGAACACTTGGTGTGCAATGTGAATTACTTCCTATTTCTTACATACACTACCATGAAAGTTCCCCAAATTCACAATAGTACACCAATCTACCACAATACACTCTAACTAAATCCACACATTGAAAGAGAATGTAAGAATGAAGCCCGAAATTTTGTCGGAGTTAGAAATCATACCTTGCTTGGCAAGTTGGAAGCTTGATGTGTGTCAATATCCAAGCACTAGTGTGAGGAGTGTGTGTAGTGCAATTTTGGGGTGTATGCAATTAAGTGTGTGCAGTGAATTAGGTGCAAGTGTGATGGTGAAAATGAGTGCAAGTGAAGATGAAGGGTGCTCGTGTGGAGTGATTTCGTGTGTGAGTGAGAGTGCAAGGAGTATGGCGTGAGGGGGGGATGTGGGGAAAAATGGGGGTGGCCACGGGTTAAAACCCGTGGCCACAGCACTATGCGACCGCATAGTGCTGCACTATGCAGTCGCATAGTGCACCCATTTGGGGGCTTTGTGCCTTCGGTTGCGGTCTATGCAACCGCATAGACCATTGGTCTATGCGGCCGCATAGACCAAAACCGGGTTTTATAAATTTTTTTTTTTTCAAAAACATAACTTAGAATTTAAACTCCCCCAAAATCGATTTTTCACTTAAAAATTTGGACTTACTCCGCTATATTCCGAAAAAAACAATTGAAATTTTTGACTTGAAAAAGGAATACGCTTATCGAAAACTTGGCACCAAAATCGATTTTTCAAAAATATTGACCCGCATTCTGAAATCTTAACCAAAACGAACATCTTCGCACATCGGAATGCGTGACATACACTTGGACACCCGACACACTTCATAACGCCTCGATTCATGCAACATTAAACGTGAAATGCCTAGGCTATCATGCAAAATATGATCGATGACCTACGAAACAAACTAAAATCAAACAAATTCCTAAACTAATGCAATGCAATAAAATAAAATAAAGGATACAGTGGGTTGCCTCCCACTCAGCGCTATGTTATAGTCGATAGCTCGACTTTACCGTAATGCGTCATTCTGGTGATCCAAGTTGGACGGTAGACTTGTCCTTTGAGAAATCACCGCCCCAATAGTGCTTCAAACGCTGTCCATTAACTTTGAATGTTCCCTTGCTGTCGTGAGTGATCTCAATTGCCCCATGTGGAAACACTTGTGTAATGGTATATGGATCAGACCATCTCGATCTCAATTTTCCTGGAAACAGCTTAAGCCTGGAGTTATACAGTAATACTTTTTGCCCCACTTGAAAGTCACGCCTCTGGATATGCATGTCATGCCATTTCTTGGTGCGCTCTTTGTAGATCTTTGAGTTCTCATAGGCTTCCATTCTGAGTTCATCAAGTTCATTCAGTTGTAACAGCCGTTTTTCACCTACAGCCTTCAAATCCAAGTTCAACTTCTTCATTGCCCAGTAAGCATGATGTTCGATCTCGAGAGGTAGATGGCATGCTTTCCCAAAAACCAGTCGATATGGAGACATTCCTATAGGAGTCTTGAATGCAGTCCTGTAGGCCCACAAGGCATCATCCAGTTTCTTTGACCAATCCTTTCGTGATGAGTTAACTGCGACTTCCAGAATAGGCTTCAACTGCCTATTGGATACTTCGACCTGTCCGCTGGTTTGGGGATGATATGCGGTGGCTATGCGGTGCTTGACGCCATATTTTGATAACAACTGCTCGAACTGACGATTGCAGAAATGTGTGCCCCCGTCACTGATTATGGCTCTCGGTGTCCCAAACCGGGTGAAAATATTCTTCTTCACAAACTCAATCACCACTTTCCCATCATTTGTAGGCAATGCAACCGCTTCAACCCACTTCGAGACATAGTCCACCGCCACTAAAATGTATTGATTTGAAAAAGATGGTGGGAATGGCCCCATGAAATCGATCCCCCAGACGTCAAATAATTCCACCTCCAAGATACTACTCAAAGGCATCTCATTTCTTCTAGAGATGTTACCCGTGCGCTGACATCGGTCACACCTCTTTACAAATTCAAACGCGTCCTTAAAAGAGTGTGGGCCAGTAAAAACCTGATTGGAGAATTTTCGCCGCTGTCTTAGAAGCACCAAAATGCCCGGCATATATAGATGAGTGACAGTTCTCTAATATCAAAGGTACCTCTTCCTCTGGTACACAACGCCAAACGATTTGATCAGCCCCCCGCCTGTAGAGAATGGGATCTTCCCAAAAGTAGTACTTCAATTCCGCGAAAAATTTCTTCTTCTGGTGACTTGAGTAATCTGGCGGTATGATAGACCTGGCTAAATAGTTAACTATATCTGCATACCAGGGTGTTTCCATCACACCAAAGATCTGCTCATCTAGGAAGATCTCGTTTATTTCCACTGTCTCTTCCTATTCTGTGTCCTCAAGCCGAGATAGGTGGTCCGCTACCACGTTTTCACTGTCTTTCTTATCCTTGATTTCCAGGTCAAACTCTTGAAGTAGCAATATCCAAAGGATGAGGCCTGGCTTAGTACCCTTCTTCTGCATCAAGTATCTGATGGCGGCATGATCTGTGTAGACTATGACCTTCGACCCCACAAGGTATGATCGAAATTTGTCAAACGCATAGACTACAGTAAGAAGCTCTTTCTCCGTAGTGGCATAATTTCACTGAGCATCGTTCAAAGTCTTACTTGCATAGTAGATCACGTGAAATACCTTATTCCTTCATTGACCCAACACGGCTCCCACAGCATAATCACTGGCGTCACACATTAATTCAAATGGCAGATTCCAATCCGGTGTGATAATTACAAGTGCTGAAGTCAACTTCTCTTTCAAAGTGTTAAAGGCCTGCAAACACTCATCAGTAAACTCAAATGTGGACTCCTTCATCAGTAAACAGCACAGAGGTTTGGTAATTTTTGAAAAATCCTTGATAAACCTTCTGTAGAATCCAGCGTGCCCAAGAAAACTGCGAACACCCTTCACTGAGGTAGGTGGTGGTAAATTCTCGATCACCTGAATCTTTGCCCTGTTCACTTCAATACCCTTTCCTGAAATTTTGTGCCCTATTACGATGCCTTCTTGCACCATAAAGTGACATTTCTCCCAATTCAACACCAAGTTGGTCTCTGTACACCGTTGTAGCACAAGACTTAGATGCTCCAGGCACTCATCAAATGAAGATCCAAACATAGAGAAGTCATCCATGAATACCTCGACGAATTTCTCAATCATGTCTGAGAAAATAGCCATCATGTAGCGCTGAAAGGTATCGGGAGCGTTGCATAATCCAAAAGGCATCCTTCTGTATGCAAAGGTGTCATAGGGGCAAGTGAAAGTGGTCTTCTCTTGATCGTCTGGTGCCACTGGAATCTGATTATACCCGAAGTACCCATATAGGAAACAGTAGTGCGAATGCCCTGCTAATCTCTCCAACATCTAATCAATGAACGGTAATGGAAAGTGATCCTTTCGAGTAGCTGAGTTAAGCTTACGGTAGTCAATGCACACTCTCCATCCAGTCATTGTCCGTGTAGGAATCAACTCATTTCTCTCATTTTCTATCACTGTGATTCCTCTTTTCTTGGGAACAACTTGCACTGCACTGATTCATGCACTATCTGATATTGGATAAATAATGCCTGCATCGAGCAACTTCAATACCTCAGCTCTAACCACTTCCTTCATGTGTGGATTCAATCTCCGCTGCCCATCAATGCTTGGTTTAAATTTTTCCTCCATGAGTATCTTATGCATGCATATAGATGGGCTGATCCCCTTTATATCTGCAATCGACCATCCAATAGTTGTTTTATTCTCCCTTAACACCCGAAGTAGTTTCTCTTCTACTACCTCACTGGCAGTGCTTGAAATAATAACAGGTAGTGTAGAGGATTCCCCCAGGTACGCATATCGAAGATGTGGTGGCAGTTGTTTGAGTTCCAATTTGGGTGGTTTCACAATATATTGCACTGATTTTGCAGTTCTAGTTCCCAGCTCTTCATAGTAGCGTCTGCGCATATATGGCTGGTTACTCTCCAAAAACCGAGCACATGTCTCAATCTCACTTGATTCAGAATGGGTGGATTGTGAATGTGCAATGCATGCCTCATATGCATCGGAAGGATGATGCAGCCGAAATGTGTCTTGAACTATTCGGTCGACTACATCTATCTGGAAACAACTGTCTGACTCAGTAGGGAATTTCATTGCTTTGAACACGTTGAATGAGATTTGCTCGTCACCAAGCCTTAATATCAGCTGCCCCTTCTGAACATCTACAATTGCTCTCCCAGTGGCTAAGAAAGGTTGCCCCAAAATGAGTGGAACATCTTTATCTTCTTCCATGTCCAAGATAAGAAAATCAGCTGGAAATATGAACTTTTCCACTTTTACTAGCACGTCTTCAATGATTCCTCTTGGGTGTGTAAGGGATCGATCTGCTAACTGCAATGTCACTGTTGTGGCTTTTGCTTCTCCCAAACCGAGTTTTCTGAAAACAGAAAGAGGCATTAGATTAATACTTGCACCCAAATCACACAAAGCTTTATCAAAATAACAATCTCCAATAGTGCAGGGTACAGTAAAACTCCCTGGATCTTTCAATTTTGGGGGTAGCTTTCTCTGGATTCTGGCGCTGCATTCCTCAGTCAACATTACTGTTTCGTGTTCTTCTATTTTTCGCTTGTTGGAGAGGATATCCTTCAAGAATTTTGCATAGCTCGGCATCTGGACAAGTGCTTCAGCAAATGGGATGTTGATATGCAGTTTCTTGAAGACTTCAAGGAACTTACTATATTGCTGATCCATTTTGTGCTTTCTCAACCTTTGTGGAAACGGAATAGGAGGCTCATGAGGGTTAACAGGATTAGTATTTTTACCCTGTGATGTCTTGGAATTCCTCTTAACCTCATCTCCTGTTGCATCGTCAGTTTGCTCCACACTTTCTTCTTCCAAGGTTGGCATTAATTCCTTGTTGGCTCCCGAACTTGTTACACGTGGTTCCGGCAGTTGTACTCCACTTCTGGTTGTTATAGCCTTTGCATGTTCCTTAGGGTTAACTTCAGTATTGCTGGGTAGGTTTCCCGGTGCTCTACCCGTCATGGAAATTGCTATCTGTCCCACTTGTGTCTCCAAGTTCTTGATCGCTGCACTTTGATCTTGAAGCGTTGTTTCCGTCCTTCGCATAAATTAGTTATTGGCTTCCATGTACTGATTGGTGTGTGTCATAAATTTCTCGAACATATCCTCCAAATTTGGCTTTTTGTCTTGCTGCTGATATTGCCATTGTGGTCTATTTTGATTCTGGTTGCTCTAAGAGAAATTTGGGTGTTTTCTCCAGCCTTGATTGAAGGGTTCTGAATTTGGGTTATTCTGCTGGCGCTGACCCCATTGTGCGAATTCTGCATGTTCTACTCCTTGTGTCAGAATTGGGCAAGTAGCAGTACTGTGATCTGCTCCACATTCTTCACAACTCTGCTTCATAACTTGCTTAGCAGTGGCGGTTTGTGAAATGCTTTCAACCTTATGGAATAAGGAATCTATTTTCGCCGACAGTGCTGAGTAAGTATCTACTTTATACACCCTAGGTGCTCTTTTCTGAACTACTCGATCTGTAGACCACATAGCTGAAGTTGTAGCCATCCTTTCAAACAACTCCCAGGCTCCGTCAATTGTTCTTGTAGAGATAGACCCGTCAGATGATGCATCCACCATACTCTTGAATGATGGGAGTAATCCAGTGTAGAAAAATCTGATCTGGGTCTTCTTGTCAAAGCCATGTTGCGGGCACTTCCTTAACATGTTCTTGAAACGGTTCCATGCCTCTTCAAATGACTCTGACTCGATCTGGTTGAATATTGAGATGTCATGTCGCATTTTAGCTACTTTAGCTGGCGAGAAGAACTTGGTGCAGAATTTATGAGCTAGCTCGTTCCAAGTGGTGATGCTTCCGATAGGGAGTGAATCCAGCCATTCGAGTGCTTTATCCCTTAAGGTGTGCGGGAACAAGCTCAATCTTATAGCATCATCAGAGATACCTTGGTATCTGAAGTGTTGACACATATCAAGAAATCGAGATATGTGTGTATGCGGATTCTCACTAGCCATCCCATGGTATTGATGCCCATTCTGAAACAGTTGAATCACGTTTGTCTTCAGTTGGAAGTTCGGTTGCCCAAATGGAGGATATACAATACTGGATTGACTTTGCACCACCAATGGTGCCATGAAATCCCCAAGATCCGTATTTCCATCCTCTTCAACTGCCACACCTTCGTTGAGTGGAATTCCCGGACGATTTTGCTCGTTAGCCATTTGTTGTACCACTCTTGCTTCCCTTTGCCTGTGACGAAATGTGCGTTCAATCTCTGGATCTATAGGGATCAAGTCTTGATCAGGTGCTCCTTGCATGCAAGCCCTGATATGGCAAAATTAATACAAAAAGTCAATATAAACAATAATTAAATAAATCTAATAAAATTAACAAATACTAAAATGAATAAGTTCGAATTAGTGTCACAAAAGATAGAATTAAATCTAAAATTTAATCCCCAGCAACGGCGCCAAAAACTTGTTCACGAAATATTTCTTTTCGATTTTAAAACCCACCGCAAGTGTACGGTTCGTTAACAAGTAGTAAAATGGACTATGAGTCCAAGTATCGTTCCCACGAGGATTGAATTAGCTCTAATTAGACTAATGTGACCTTAACCGAATATAATTGAATGAAAATTTGGTTTAAATGTGAAAAGCCCTAATTTTGGAAGAAATCCCCAATTTGAAACCCTAATTGCAAAGAAAACCCTAATTTCAAAATTGGAAACCCTAATTTCGAAATTTCACTAATCGAATGAAATAAACACGCAACTGAAATGTAAATATGCAATTTTAGAACTAATGTATTGAAATGAATCGAAATGAAATCATTAAGAACTCGAATCCCCAATTGACTATTAAAAACCCTAATTTCACAAATTCAACGAATCGATGGAAAAAAAAATGGCAATTCAATGTTCCTAAATTATCCAATACACTCTCTCGATATATATTGAATCTACTCTTACACACCACCAGCCTATATTTCTATGGATGATGCAATGTACAAGAATGCATGACTTTTTATGAACATCTTCATGAATTGCATAAAGCATAGAGGTAAGTTTCCATCCCCTATCGGAC